GAATTAGCTCACCAGCCTCTGGAACGCCCTCTGCAGGCCAGTGATCCGCCTTGTCCTCTGCACTGGCCCCCGTGTCCCTCCCATGACCCCGATGCCCCTTGCTCTAGGTGCTGCCCCCTGGCAATACCCACACGCTAGGTCTCCCCTCCCAGGGGAACCCCCACCCACTAACCCCACCTCGCCTCAGGATAAGGCCACTGCCAGTCACCATCTAGCTGCCACTCTCTGGGGCAGACTGCAGTATCGGCCACTCATCATTGGCAAGGCTGGGTTTGGACCTGCTGCCTTGGCCTAGCCCTGGGTTGCCCTCTGCAACCCCGAGTACCCCTTGGCCTATTACTAGGCCGCAGTCTGGGGCTATCCAGGCTGGAGCTTCCCAGCTCCTCAGCCTTTCCCCAGCCCTGCTCCACTCAGGTACCCTGTCCCAAGCTCCCTGCAGCCAGGCCCTTCTCCCTCTGAAGGCAGAGAGAGACTACTACTGTCCTAGCTCCCAGCCTCTCTATACAGGCCATCTGGGCTCTGATTAGGGTGTGGCCCAGCTGCAGCCACTTCCCCCAATCAGCCAGGGTTTTACCTTGCCCTGCCCCAGCCCTCTGCAGGGCTTTTCCAACCCCTCAGGGCAGGAGCGGGTGTCCACCCCGCTACAGGGAGGGACTCAAAGGGCCATCCCAGCTCACCTGGCCTATGTAAATAGAAGACAGAATTGCAGCTCCTACACTGTATGAGAGCCCAGGGACTGCGTCTCTAATGCAGTACTCAGCTAGTGTGAAGGGGGGGGCATATGAGCCCCAAAGAGGGTGGGGAGGACGTGAGGGCACGTCTCTGCCCTCCCCTAAGATGAGATAGTGGAGCTGCCCAGCCACATGGGGATAGTCAGTTGTACATCACACAGGGGTGTAAATCAGGGCATGCTGAGCTTCAGGAGTGCCTCTAAGCTGCCATGGGGGGCTGCGTCTTCCCACCATCCTTTCCTAGATGGCTCAACAAGAGGAGAGAGGTTAACGTTGCTATCAGGGCAAACAACTCACATCGCCAAAGCTTCTACCAACAAGCTTTTCACTGGGCTTCTGCTACTATGTAAATAACAGCTCTGTTATATTTAGCCCTTACAGGTTAAAAAAGAAGCCTACCACACTGCACAGATAATGATAGAGTCTTAACAGTACCCTCGACAAACCAGCGAGCCATTTGCACAGCCTACCTGCGACCTTGCCCAAGGTGAGCGATTTGATGGCCTTGAAGTCAATCTCCGAGAGGTTGTGCTTGAGTTTGAGAACTTGATCAACCTGGAACAAGTCAATAAAAACAGTTGATTATTGCAACATGCAGAGACCCCTGAAGTATCTTAGACCAGCCTTGTAGAAAAGCTCCACACTGGATACCGGTAATGCCTGCCTGCCGCTGATCCCAAAGTGAATGTGCTTGAATTTTGCAGAAAAAGCCAAAAAGTGTGTCAGAGTATTCATACAGCAGACTTCTAAAGAAACCTTTCCTGCAGAAAACTATAAAATATTTGACACGTGTTTATGCCCCCACTGAGAATTCTCAGCTATTAATCTCTGATTGCCACAAACAGGCAAACAAATGAAGCCTGGCTGGAAATTGACTGGCAAGGATTAGCAATACATGGAAAAAGCTGCAATATAAGGGAATATTATAAGATCAGTGTGTGGGATAAAGCTTGCTTTAGACACAGATCAGAATCGGGTCCATCTGCTGTATGTGCTATATTCACTTAAGAACATAAGAAAGGCCGTACCGGGTCAGACCAAAGGTCCATCTAGCCCAGTATCCTGTCTACCGGCAGTGGCCAATGCCAGGTGCCCCAGAGGGAGTGAACCTAATAGGCAATGATCAAGTGATCTCTCTCTTGCCATCCATCTCCCCTCTTACGGACAGAGGCTAGGGACACCATTCCTTACCCGTCCTGGCTAATAGCCATTAATGGACTTAACCACCATGAATTTATCCAGTTCTCTTTTAAACTCTGTTATAGTCCTAGCCTTCACAACCTCCTCAGGTAAGGAGTTCCACAAGTTGACTGTGCGCTGCGTGAAGAAGAACTTCCTTTTATTTGTTTTAGACCTGCTGCCTATTAATTTCATTTGATGACCCCTAGTTCTTATATTATGGGAATAAGTAAATAACTTTTCCTTATCCACTTTCTCCACGTCACTCATGATTTTATATACCTCTATCATATCCCCCCTTAGTCTCCTCTTTTCCAAGCTGAAGAGTCCTAGCCTCTTTAATCTCTCCTCATATGGGACCCGTTCCAAACCCTTAATCATTTTAGTTGCCCTTTTCTGAACCTTTTCTAGTGCCAGTATATCTTTTTTGAGACGAGGAGACCACATCTGTACGCAGTATTCGAGATGAGGGCGTACCATCGATTTATATAAGGGCAATAATATATTCTCCGTCTTATTCTCTAACCCCTTTTTATTGATTCCTAACATCCTGTTTGCTTTTTTGACTGCCTCTGCACACTGCGTGGACATTTTCAGAGAACTATCCACGATGACTCCAAGATCTTTTTCCTGACTTGTTGTAGCTAAATTAGCCCCCATCATATTGTATGTATAGTTGGGGTTATTTTTTCCAATGTGCATTACTTTACATTTATCCACATTAAATTTCATTTGCCTATTTTGTTGCACAATCACTTAGTTTTGTGAGATCTTTTTGAAGGTCTTCACAGTCTGCTTTGGTCTTAACTATCTTTAGCAGTTTAGTATCATCTGCAAACTTTGCCACCTCACTGTTTACCCCTTTGTCCAGATCATTTATGAATAAGTTGAATAGGATCGGTTCAAGGACTGACCCTTGGGGAACACCACTAGTTACCTCTCTCCATTCTGAGAATTTACCATTAATTCCTACCCTTTGTTCCCTGTCTTTTAACCAGTTCACAATCCATGAAAGGACCTTCCCTTTTATCCCATGGCAGCTTAATTTACATAAGAGCCTTTGGTGAGGGACCTTGTCAAAGGCTTTCTGGAAATCTAAGTACATTATGTCCACTGGATCCCCCTCGTCCACATGTTTGTTGACCCCTTCAAAGAATTCTAATAGATTAGTAAGACACGATTTCCCTTTACAGAAACCATGTTGACTATTGCTCAACAGTTTATGTTTTTCTATGTGTCGGACAATTTTATTCTTAACTATTGTTTCGACTAATTTGCCTGGTACAGACGTTAGACTTACCGGTCTGTAATTGCTGGGATCACCTCTAGAGCCCTTTTTAAATATTGGCGTTACATTAGATAACTTCCAGTCATTGGGTACAGAAGCCGATTTAAAGGAAAGGTTACAAACCTTAGATAACAGTACCACAACTTCAC